GGATAATTTATTATTTATTCAAACCAAAAAATGTATATAATCAAATTTAAAAATGTAAACAAGTTCTCCTAAAGATAAATACAATTTAATTAAAAGTAAAAAATTTTACTATTTACCAACTTGTTTTTATTTTTCAATTGGACGGACAATATTTTACTCTCCCTTGTGGGACTTACGTTTTAACCACTGTAGTGATCCCTCACTAACGCTTATATTTTGAGTTTGTCGACGTTGATGATTGAGTAGGAGAAAAGGTTGCAGAGTTACAAGTTACAACGTTATAATTTAAGTAATTTATTTTAAAGTTAATAATAATATATTGGTATTACATTTGAATATAGAAATTTGAGGACAGAGCGATAAGCGTCTGCCCGAGAGATTAGTGGTTAATACTAAGTACTTACAAGTATGTACGTCGTACTAGCACTGAACTAATTCTAATTTAGATACAGACGGAGACTCGTATATACATATACAAAGTCTCCCTAGGTTATTAGGTACACGGTAGAGACTCGGAGGTGGATCAAAGGAATGAAAGGTACCGGCGTAAATGTTAAAAGTTGTCGAATAAACCTTGAGTTGTGAACTGGTTTATTTGGCAATATGTATTATTAGAAATCGTTATGCGATTTTGAAATATGTAATAAACCTCAGGGCGTGGTATAGTCGTTGATCAATATATCATATAGTGCAAAGTCCTTATGATGTATAATTATAGGAAAGCGACTCTGTCGGTTTACTACACCACTAAAATATAATATGTACACAAGGCCGACTAATAACGAATGGCGATTAAAGACGTGACTAATACCTACTTAAGACTTAAAACGTGTTAGCATATGATTGAATAGTATTCCAATTTAAACTTATTTAGTGTTTTGAATACTTTCAGAGTATATAACTTTCATATTACATATTTTTTTTCATAATATTTTGTTCCACTTTTAAATTATATATAAGGATTAAATTATTCACAAAACGGAACAAAAAGTCCACCGAGAGGAACAAAATATCCCCGCAGAACAAAATATCCCACTAGGACATTTTGTTCCATTTTAGGATTTTTTGTTCCACTATTAATGTTCTTGAAAGGATCACATTATTCACAAAAAGGAACAAAAAGTCCACCGAGAGGAACAAAATATCCCCGCGGAACAAAATATCCCACTAGGACATTTTGTTCCGTTTAAGATTTTTTTGTTCCACTTTTGATTGTTAAAGAAAGGAACAAAAAATCCAACTTTATTTTTGTTAAAATATTAAAAAGGATCAAAATGCCTCCAGAGAAGAACAAAAATCCAAAAGGGAACAAATATCTCAAAAGGGAACAAATTATCCGCGGAACAAAATATCCCAACACCAATTTGGTGATGGTTGATGTTGACTGTTGACTGTTGCTTGGCATCATTAAAATCTAGATATTTGAATATAAAAATTCATAGTTAATCAATGTCTACAGAGTATGTAATAATAAAATTAAATAACTTTAAATAATATAGTAAAAAATGTAATGTAAACATCTTTAATAATTATGTTTGATTTCTTGCTAAATATGTAAACTAGCCAACATTTTCTGTTGACCACAATCTATGATGGCTAATTGATTTACCCTACTACAAAATATTATTATTCATTACATTATTTATTTTAAGTAAGTAACAAGTAGTATGTTTGTTTCTAATATTAATTATATTATTAAAATAGACAGTTACTTACTTTTTGCCAATGTTAGAAGTTGTTTGGATCTTTTAGAAGTCATCTCTCTCAAGTATCAATATGTATTAATTTAATTAAAATGATTACACAACTACACTAACAATAACTATGTCATAAAAATTCGAAAAAATATGAATTTACATCTTATTAAGTACTATCGGTTATGTTACCTATGAAGACGAATCGTCGATCACATTAGGTAATAACAATTTATTAATATAACAAAAAGTTTTTGCTTTGAGTGACTTATCCCCTTTCTCACCAAATAAATTGTTTTTGTTTTGACTTGCGCCCAGTCGCACGTATAAATAGCACGATAACAGTAACATATAGAAAAATTACAGTGCCACCAAACGATGCGGCGTAAAAAATCATATAAAATTGATTAATAACCCCAAATTATCCAAAAAATGACTTATACTCTTTCTCACCAAAACCGTCCAAATAATCTGTGTTCTTATTTAAATTAAAATTAAAAAAATAAATAATTTTTATGATATTGAATTAAAAATGAAAATTGAATTTCAAATAAAAATGTTTGATATTTGCATATTATTTACCTAATCCACTATGTAATTAATTTTCTATATTTTTCAACTCTTCTTCATTGTTATTTTAATATTTAGCTTAAAATGTTGTTAGTTTTTTAATTCTTGTAGCTAAATGTTTAATGTAGGTACACAAATTAAATTATTTATTTATTTACCTATGTATTGAAATATTCAATGAGTTTGGACCCAAATACATACATGAGTATAGAATTTATTTAAATACATAGAGCATTCTTAACATATATTTAACTATACTATAACATAGGTATATTATAATATTCATTATTTTTGTACCTACCTATGTAAATAGATGCTTTGTATAATTTTATAATATATTAATTTATATGCAAAACTAGAATAATACTACCTAATCTATTGTGTTTATAATAATTAGGTATGATTATTATGATTATAATTTCAGATTCCAAGAATTCTATTGTTTTATATCTTCTCCATGCTATTTTGATTCCTACCATAAGACAAAATTATGTGGATTCGGAAGGCAATAAATGTATAAAAAAGTTTTCCATTAAGGATTCTCAAAATAGTTATGTGATAGTTGCACATACAGCACTGGAGCTTGAAGAAAAATTGAAAATTCGAAAATTCGAAAAAACTCAAATAACCCAATTCAACCTTGTTTATTAATAGTTGGTACATTAATGAATCCTTCCGAAATAATGGTATACTTTGATGAATTAAAATATAAATTTTTTTTCATTGTCAAAGCTATAGATATGTGCTTTAAAATTTATCACGTTTTTAACACAGAATATCCATTAGAATCCACACATGTATGGTTATTTATTCAACGTTATTATTATAATATTAAGTTACAGTGTGACAAACCATATCCTACTATAAGCCAAATTATCAACGAACTCAAATAAAAAACAATTGTGGTTTGATTCAAATCATAATATATTTACATTTGTAACATTTAAGTATTCTCCTGTTTATTTTTTAATGTGATTTTTTAATATTAATATAGAGGTTTGCTATATTATTATTATTATTTTTTTTAATATTATATTTTAAGTTCTGTTAAAACTTGTGTTTATTTTAGCGCTCTAGAGTTAATTCTCAAATGTATTAAATAATATTGTATAATGTTTAAAAAAAATTATGTTTTTATGTATAATTAATACTTACTTACTTTTTAAAATTTCAAATGTGATTCTTTTTATAAATATTCATTGTAAAACACATGGGAGGTTTATTATTTTATTGTTTTAAAATTTCTTTAATTATATTTTGAGATCTGTTAAAGTTTGGGTTTATTTAAGAACCCTAGAGTTTATTCTTAAATGTATTACTTAAATAATACTATTTTTTTATTTTTTTGTTATTGATCTCTTTGTATATTCGGCGGCATGGGCCATTAGCCAATAATATACTGTATAATGTTTAAAAAAAATTATGTTTTTATGTATAATTAATACTGACTTTTTTTTTTGTAAGACACATGGAGGTTTACAATTTTATAATTTTTTAATATTATATTTTGGATTCAGTTTAAGTTTTGATTTTTTTTTTGTACCTTAAAGCTAGTGTGCGGTTCTACGTTGTGGCCGGGGGCAAGTGCCCACTATATTTTTGGTTTTGCCCCACTTGTAATTTGCAACTTAACTTAATTTTTGGTTTACAAATACTATATATAGATTAAACACCTAAATATTGTATTTAGTGGCGTAGCTATGATTATGAAATTTAGGGGGGGGGGGTAAATATAAATTGAACCCAGTGTTACAGTTTTCGTATATATAAATAATACATTTATTAGTGACAAAAATGTCAAAGGTGGAGGGGTGGGCGTTAAATCTCCCTGGCATCGCCACTGATTATATATGATTCAACAATTCACGAGCTATATAATTAAACAACAAGTTTGTTGAATTAAAGGGAAATTATTCATATTTAAAAGAACTAACTGTTAAAAGAACAAAATTAACAGACTGGAGTTATAAAAATTAACCAACAAGTTAGTTAGATTAAATGATAATTTTATAAATGTAACAATAATATTTGTTAATATAACTAAAGCAAACAACTTTGCTTTGAAAAAATTAACAATCAACTTTTGTTGAATTAAATGGGCAATTTATCATTTGAAAAATTCTATTGTTATTCTACAAATTAACAATTTTTTTCTCCGAGATCAACAAAGCTATTTGTTGGCCCTATGTTTACAAGGACTTTATTATTTTAATTGTTATTTTTGATATTTTTACCGTGATTTTTCGTTCTGTGTATGCATTTCCCACTTTTTATGTGATCGTCTAATGTATGCAACGTAATGATTGGTACTATAACCAACAGCACCATAAAATGTATAACTGAAAACCAATTATACTTTAAAAAATAATGTTAAAGTTATTTCAAATATTACATACCTTGTGTCGTTTACATTGATATTAACAGGAAAATTGTCCAATGTAAATTTACTTTGATCAGCATAGACATTGGTTTCAATGAACAAATGATTTTAGAGATGTCTAAATGATGTTATGACCTCATTACAGACAGTGCATTCATATTCATTTCAATAGGTATACTTGCTTAGACTGCATTCCAAGGACTTAAAGCCATCTGTTAGACTTATGATTATTGATGGACAAGATATTATTTTTGAATAATTCACGCAATTAACATTTGAACAAGAAATATATTCTTTTGCTGAAGGTTCATTTTTTAAAAGACTTGTTACTATAAATATGACATTACATTCCGTGTTTATAAGTTTAATGCCTGAATTCCAGTATTTTCTGTGAAAATAGTTTTCAATAAAGTACCTCGATCACAGTACGATTTTATTGAAGTACCATTGATGGCCAAATTTTTGCAAAATTTTAAAAAAGAGTTTTCGCTATCATTAATAAATTGTTTGTAACGAGGATTATCAATATATGCCATTGTAACTATTGCAGATACCGAGTCAAATGGACATGTATTGTGAATCAAATATTTGTGTTTACCAATTTTTACGGGAGAAGTAGAGTTTCCATTAATCAACAAACTTTCTGCTGTTGAACGAGTAACTCGAGTATTCAGAATTCTGTCAATTTCGGGTGCGGATTGCATATATTTTGTACTTCTTTTCTTTTTAAACGGAATATTTATAATTTTATATGTTAATTGATTGTCATTGCCTTGACCACGCCAGTTATCTGTAGCATCTAACGATGAAGCCGAATCATTACTTTTCTCATCAACATTTGAGAAATGTTTAAAGGATGAAGATTTGTCTAAGAAGCGTCTATTCTAGCTATGACCACTTTTGGGTGCGGTCGACGAGGCCGCCTTCCACATAAGTGGTTCTTGTTATTATGAGCGTTGTACATGAATTGCGTAATCTCATTACACCTCCCCACCAAAAAAAAGATTGTTAACCTTTAAGGGTTAAGAATCTTTAACAATCATAGTTAAGTTAATTAATCACAATAGTTGATTTACAATTTGACATACATTCGATTACAATTTGTTATAATAGTTTACAATTTTGATATTACAGTGTAGACATTTACAATTTTTAGTGTCATACATAATTACTGTTACATATTTATTATATATATTAAAAGTTATATATCGTGATTAGTAAGAATAAAATTAATACATAAATTATTAAATGATTAGTGTTAGTAATAAGGAGTAATAATTCTTTCAAAACAATAAAATAATATTTGTACCTGAAATTACAATATTAAAAGTGTAGGTATATAATGAAAATATATAATGTAAGTATTTTCCCTTGATTACAATAATAATTATTATCTTATACCAATTAATTATTATACTAAATCTATATTAATAATTATTAAAATTGTCATACACATATGCAACCATAATTTTTTGTTTACTTAAAATTTACTTTAATTATGTTTTTACCTTCCTCGTTAATTTATATATATATGGGTCTTATTTTTGAAACTACATAATTAAATAGACATTTTGTTAAGATTACTTAACACGTAATATTATGATTAGTATCGCTCATTAATCCATGCGCTTCTGATAATCTTAAGATTCTGACTTTTTTTATTTAATTTTCCTAAGTACCCTGAATATAAAACTTCTTTAGTTTGTAAATTTGTTAGTTCTAGATTAAATTCATCATTATTTTTAATACTATATGCTGATATATTTAAAAATGCTAAAATACCCTTTATTCTTAACCGTTTAATTAATGTTATGTCAGTCGTTCCATTCCAGAAAACTATTACTGGATCCCTATTGTCTATGTGCAAATATCTTTGCAAGTAAACCGTTGACAAGATTGATTTCCCCTGGTGGCTTACCCTTTTGTATAATTGGTTCAACAGTGGTGGAATCACGCTTGCCTTTTTCCCTCGGAATACCCGTTTGATTGTTTGCACGATATCCTTAAGATCGCAACGCCGGAATCTCCTTAACTTATTTTCGTAAGTATAAGAGGATCTATTTCCAATTTCTTAGGCTGGTATTTTTCAAAACTATTAAAAATCGTTCCGGATAAAAATAATGTTTCGTCTTTACCGGCCGTAAAGAATTCGAAATCTACTAAAAAAAACGGATCTGTGAGCTAAAATAAAATGTATTACTTAAGGTCAGTAACACTATAATTTAATAATATTATTATATATTTATATTTTTTATTTCTTGTAACTATTCTTCGTTTGTCGGTTCGATCGCCACGCCTCTTGCTATAAATCGTTCTAGCAATAAACCTAATTTTACACAAATGGGTCCGTTGTGGTCCGGCAAGGTTTTTAGATTATAGAGGTTGCCTCATAATCATGTAAACAAAACCAAAACCCCGCACGCCGCAGTTGATCTAGTGACGTCATTGTAGTATACGATTACCGGCGGATAGCCGTGTGCCCGGCGTGTCGCATTGGAATTGTAATAGAAAAGGTGGAAAATTAATATTTTTGATTAACTGACCTAGGTACTTGAATCAAATTCAAAAAGAATTATTAAATTGTTAAATATCTAAACTGTTACAGTTTTAATAAATAAAAAATAAATATGAACAAAGGCTAAAAAATATGTGTTTAGAAACAACAAAAGAATCAGTAGGTAATCTAATGTTTTTCACAAAATGTATTATTTTTATGTCGGAATTTATAGCCATTTTTATTAATTATATTTTTTTTTAATTGTTATTGTTCCAAGTAGTTCAGTTGATCAAACATATACATTTATAATCTATTATATTTATGAAAATAAAAAAAAAATGTTTGTATAATTTATATTTTATTCAAAAAAAATAATTTCATATTAAATAATATAATTAATATTGTATTGTTAAATTCAATATTATTAGTCAATACCTATAATAAACTTTTTAAAAAAAAGGGGAAAAATGTTTTTGATTATAATGGTAATTAAAATAAAACAGTAATTAATATACTACTTGAAACATTTTATTTAATATTAAATACACAATGCAATACCAATATTAACACATAGATATAATTTTGTAATAACAACAGCTTAACATGATTACAATGAAATAGATTGTGTCATCAGCCTTCTTAATTTTTGTAGTTTTTGTAAGCGGAATTTAGACTTTGGTGTGTGTTGTTTATTGTAGTATTTCATACGAATAAGTATTCGTTGTTTGATATACGATTGAATGACAATATTATATCTTTTTTCCATATCCAGGACCGGATTAAGAGTTTACCGGGCCTGTGGCCCAGTAGTCTAAAGGGCCCTTAATTCATACACTATTAATTACCAATAACTGAATTTTATTTATTTAAAAAAAATGATACAAATTAATTTATTGTAGGTACAGATATATCTTTTTTAATCTTTAAATATTAGTTAATTTTCGATACATACAAATATACAACATTATTGTTTAAATGTCAAAATAAAAATAAAATATTTTAAAATTAACTTTATTAGGTACCTTATTTTCTTTTCTTTTTTTGAAACTCCACAATTATTTCATCTGTATTTATTTCTTTAAGTAGAGATCTCTCAATGGTCATTAATGATAAAGCGTTCAAGCGTGGATTTTTCATGGTAGACCTCAATTCGTTCTTCACTCTTTCAATTTTGAAAATGCTCTTTCTGCACTGCAGTTGGCAACTGGAAGACATAAATACAATCTATATGCTACTTCCACATTAGGAAACACTGAATTGAGTTTATTATCGTGTATAATTTGAAGACATTTTAGTGCTGATGGCATTTTAATTTGTCCTTCTTCATCTTGCTTATCAACTAATTTGGTAAAATGTATAATTTCTTCGGGAAAAATGTCACAATCAAGGTCGTCCGGATATATTTTACCAAGATATTTTGCCATATCCACGATTTCTTTCTCAGTCATAGATTTAAAATAAGTAAGAAACCCAAACTTTCTATCTAGATCGTTATATTGTTCAAGTCTTTTTAGCTGGCATATATCTAATTTGTCCATTATAACTATAAATGTTTCAACTCTCCTGCCCAGAAAAAGTGGTCTCTTCTTCATTTCGAATCATTTCATCTGGAGTTAATTTACGAATCATTTTTCTTTTTTTTTCAGTACTATACTTTTTAGAAATAACTTAAGAAAGAGATAATGCCACTTTTTCTATATCATTGAAATTGTTTCTTATTGAACCAATATACTCCCGTAAAGATTTTAAAAGCTCAACAGCGACTGATAAATCAAGTGACTTCTCTTGTAATTTAACACTAGTTTTGTCAAATCTTTCTAAAATTCTGTTCCATAGTACTGTCATGAAAGCAATATCAAGTGATGTCATTTTGTTAATTATATTTTGTGCTTCGTTTCGTGTATCTTTTTTTATTTCCGTATTTTCACTTAAATATTTTAAACGATTAAGTATGGTATCATAATTCTCACAAAGTACTTTAGTACTTGAATGCAAACAAATTATATTTTATTATACTATTTTTATATTAGGTATAATATAATATCATAAGGTCCTATTATTCCAAACCGATATTACTGCTCGCACGTAAGCAGGTGGTATTAAGCTAGCACACTGCGTAATAAATATAGTAAAAATACGAAAATGTTATCAAAATAAAATTTAAACTTAAATTATTTTGAACTTGGTCTGAAATAAAAGGCCCCTTCGGGGCCTTCAATATTTCAGGGCCTGGAGCCCGGGCTCCCAGGCTCCGTGCTTAATCCGGCCCTGTCCATATCCATTCTAGATATTATTTTTTTAGTTAAATTGTTGACAACACCCAGGCCTTTCGGAATTTGTTGTTTTGTAATCTTTTTAAATAAACGTTCAATCCTAAATATATTTGTTTTGAAATTATTACTTGGAACAATAAGCCCACCATAAGATAGATGACTTATCCATGATGGCATTGAATAATTATGTTCATGTGAACTTTTATCATAACTTGATTTTGATGTGATTGTTCATGCTGCTGGCGTCAGCATTTCTGTCATTATATCTACAACAGCGACAGCGTACAGCACGCACAATGGACAACTCTTTTATCCCCGCTCTTCCCGTCTCTTCCTATTCATTACATACTCGATCCACTCCATACAAAACGTATTTATAATGTCTTTGCTCAATCAATGTAAACACCGCCATATTGTTTTATATTTTTCTAGTTCTCTAGTTTTTTGTACGTTGTGTCAACATAACCAACAGAAATCGTAATATTATAATACGGAGTACTGTGTGGTGTGTACTGGCGACGCTCGCTATTACAGCAGCTCCCGATCTTTTTTATTATTAATTGTGTACATACACGTTCTATCTTTTCTCATTGTTGTCATCAGTCAAATGACACAATAATCTTTGTAACCTTATCTGATTTCGCGGAGACTGAGTCTGCAGATCATTTACATAACGGATATCAATAAATCATAATATTTCGTTCAAAATCGGTGAGTACTCATTCATTTGGTTCCTTTTGTAATATCTACCTCTTTGTTAGAGAATCCGAACTGACTATCGCCAATAAGAATCGAACGTACGGTGATCATTACACTATCATCCGCGTTATTCTTGGCATCACTCGTCACTTGCGTAAGCCCGCCAGCAATCATTGTGTGTTGTGTGAGTGGCCGCCCAGGTCATCCAGATGCAATACGCTGTGGATCGACCAATCTTATACCTCCACCTCAGTCATTGATGCGTGGACATTCTGGGGCATCAGTGGATATCGTGACAACTGCATATACTTCCGTAGCATAAGTTAGTTGTAAGATTATCTCCACTTATTGTGAGCTCTGTGGTCATTGCACCAGACCGATCCGAGCACAGAGAGACCCCCGCTTATACGTAAATTGCATAATCCTATTTCCCATTGTATAACCTGTATCCTTCACACCTTCGCGTTTCGGTGCGTTCTGGTTCCTTGTTGTCCATCGTCGCGTCATAGCCAGCCACCATCAATCCGTTTAGCTGTGTGTTGGATTACGTATATCTTGGAGTAGGCGTCGTCGTCTTGTCACCTCTAACAACGTTAATCGTACATGCAACTTTGGTTGCCTATCCTTGACGCCGTCAATCTGTTCGGTAGATACAATCGCTACAAATTTATTCTATCGAGCTGGTCCTTCAAATCATCAAAATACCCTACAGTGATAGAGCCAAGTTCAGGGAATTTCAGTTGATATTTCTTAGCAATCCAACCGGCTAAATATTCAACTGCATCATTGGTCATTTCAAGCTTGTTTACACATTGTACCTCAGATGATATTGATGATTCATCAGTATCGCTTTAATAATCATTTGTGTCTGTATCAGTTTCAGAGTTGTCTGTATTTTCACGTTCCTTACCAATAGAAAAATTAATTTTTTTTAATGTACTGGCCACCATAAATTCTTCTTTGTTTTTATCGGTGGTATTCGCTTGATTGGAAACCACACCAGGATTTTTACCCAGAATAATCATTCGTAGTCTATACAACGCAATAAGAGGGGATGGATGGTCATTCAGTCCTCCTCTGGATCGAATTTGTGAAAATAAATTTTCTAAAGCATCTTGATTTACTTTACTTGTTAAAAGATATTCCAAGCAATTTTGTTGTAAAATTTTTAAAAGATGTTTTGTCCCATTAATATTCATAAGAAGAGCCTTTTGAAAAATTTGAAGCGATTTTTTCCCATTGCATCTCATTGTTAAAAATATATCATATACATTATCGAGAAGTGCATCTTGTTCATCAATTAATAATCCATATGGTGCTGTATAAGGAGAGTGCTTATCATTTGTGTGTGAAACATTTGCTAAATCAAACCAATTGTTAACTAATTCAATAAAGTTGGCTGTGTCGTTTAGTAATTTTATATCAGTTATAGGTTTATAATGCTTAAGTGCAGTTGCGGTGGTATGAGACAGTAATTGTGTTGTTAACCTTACTTTTTGTCTCAGGGGTCCATCACAGGTTAAATGTTCGGAAGACATATTTCTTACCAATGCTTCTAATGGTTTTTTGTTGATAATTTGGTCATTAATTTGAAAACCCGTGTCTAATAACCAGTTTCTGATAAGCTTTAGAATATGAGGTGCATCTGGAATGTATACTATATCTCTTCCGTTCGGGATTGAGAATATAGGATTTTCATAACTAATATTTAAAGCTTTCCACAAACCAACATTTCCCCCACCGCAGTCACTAGTACAACAAACAACCTTATATCCAATTTGATCAAGTCTTTCAATTATATCAAAGAGAATGTCTTTAGTCATTTTTTTATCGAAGTCTACATAAATTGGCTGTTTCCATTGTGATGCTAGTCCTCGAGCCATAATCACCTGCATTTGGTTATGAGGCCCAACAACTTCATCATGAAGGACATCATACTCCATGACACTAGACACTTTAACTTCATCAAACATTAATACTGTGAGCTTTTCAGAATTATTCAATACTTCACCATTGAGTTTCATTAGATTTAGTACATCATGAAGAACACCATTCCTCATTTCTATGCTTTTGGCCCACCTCTGAAGAGAAGAAAGTCCTAAAATCAATTTAAAATTAATACAAACATTTTTTAACTAAGTATAATGGTTCAATGAGTATAAAATAAAAAATTATTTACCAAGTAGAGGATAATGCAGTTCATTTTTGACATAGACATATGCTCTTTTACTGAAATACCTAAGAGTGAAGGCTTTTGAAATTTTTTTTCATTATTAAATTCAACTGGTTTGCAGAAAATATAGATGACAAATATTTCTTGGCTTGATTTTCAATGGTTTGACTTTTATTTAAAGAGAGCAATTTGATTTGTTTGGTTGTAGTTTTCTGTGTTTGTTTTAAAAGCAAGTTAGTTTCTTTCAAATTTTTAGTTAGAACCTTTATTCTCAAACGAAGTGATTCATTAATTTTTTTATTGTCAATATCAGATTTTTTAATTGACGCAATTTCTTTTTCCAGAACACTGTAATCAGTTTTTAATATGTCATATTCTTTAAGTAGATTGATATAAAATTGCTCATAATCTAGTTCAATGTTAACTTGTGTAAGATCATCATCTGGTATAGACAGTACTTTGGATGTACTGGATGTACTAAGAGCTGAATTGATTATCTTGTTGTGATCCTACAACAATTATTAATAAATATCTGTGAGTTACAAAGTAATGTGATAAGTGAGATAATATAATATAATATTTATTCCTATATTTTGTGATTTATTAGTGAGTTTGATATTTTATTCTGTTTCTTTGCAATTATCAGACAAACATTAAATTGTACAGGTTATGAGGTCATGAATCATGATATTACATCGATTGTAGTACAGTTTTCCCAATCTGTTTTTCCCAATCAATTTTTCCCAATACATTTCCCAAATCTAATATTCCCAATCTAATTTCTCCAATTTCAATATTTACCATAAATATATTATCCCAATATATATTTTTACAAATTTAATATTTCCCCAAAAAAAAAACCTTATCTTATTTTTGTAAGTTATTTGTGTGCAGTCATGTCGTGTCATTAAGATAATAGTCTAGACTAGTGGTACGCGTATGTAATCATTTTTATTGCTTGGTTAATCGGATAAATGGTCGGTATCGATTATCGAATGGCCTTGTTATAAGGAACCGAACCCAGATTCCCTCCAACATTGTGGAACCAGTACCATGCAGTACTACAACGATTGGCAAGAATTAATAATTTGTCAGAAGGCTGGCATAATCGGTTCCAAGTGGTTTTCGGACGACAACATCCAAGCGTCTATACATTTTTCACTGAACTTGGCAAAGAACAAGCCGACACTGAGTGCATGTTGCGACAACTAAATCTGGGACAAAAAATAAGGAAGGGTCGTAATATGGTACGACTAAAAGTAGAGAAACGAATACATAATATTGTTTCAAAGTATGACGAATTTGTTAATAACAATGATATTATTGCATATCTCACGGCCATTGGTCATAATTTAAAATTTTAATACAGTTTTATTTATTTATTTTAAAATTAACAATTTGTTGATTATTTGTATAATAATTAATAATTTAATAATTTTAACTACTTTTTTTATAATACATGCTTATACATTTTAAAATTAACAATAAATAATATCTTATATTTGGTAAGATCGTATAATGATAGATTTGATATTGTGGAAAATAACTTTTGGGAAAAATGGTATTGTGAAAAAGAACTTTTGGGAAAAATGGTATTTAGAAAAAGAACTTTTGGGAAAAATGGTATTGAGAAAAAGAACTTTTGGGAAAAAAAAAATGTGAAAAACAGATTGGGAATAGTGTCTCCCTACCATTACATCATATATATAATAAATTATCACTACATATTATTAATTATGTTATAAATTATGATACTAAAATAATATAAAACTTTCTGTTTAAGTATTTGACTGTGGTAATACATAGGGACAAAATTAATACATGAATATAAATTTTAATATTAACCTCTTTTATTGATTTTCTTTCCATCCTACTTCTACGACTAATGATTGATGCAGATTAAACTATATTCGATACTAAGTCAGTTGGTAAATTCAACGTAGGAATTGCATCCTCTTTAAGTCTTCGACTCTTAGATTTATATCCTAAAAATACATCAAAGAATAATATATATTATATCAAAGTTTTATTTTTAGAAATACTACCTAAAAGTTCTGATTTTAAGTCTCGAACAAATGCATCAACATTAAAGTGATCAGAGCAAATAAATGATGTATCTGGATTAAAATGGTCACCTCTTTTGCATTTCTGAACCCATTCTTTCCGATAGTTTAGATCTTTTGGAAATCTAAACATAATATATTTTAAATGCATATAATAATAGATATAATAAATACCTAAATACCTAAATTATAAATAATATATATTATTTTCAGTTACTTGACTGTTTTATTATTCATTAATAATTAATATACAGTGTCGGTCTTTTTGGACCTTGTCTATAGTAGGTATACACATTAGACTTTACATGTATTATACTAATATAAATATTGAAATATAATATTATGCATTAATAATAATTTTAAGTACCTACCTGTGAAATGATATGTTGGATTTTCCATCACTTTTTGATTTACTGTAGTTATTTATGCAAGTAGCAATAGCACAACATGAGCCTCCTTTCTGCTTTAATATCTTTGATTCCATAATACGTTTAAACTTATGAAATGTACAAACAATGAAAATAAATGAAAATATAGTAAAAATAAAATAAATATTAAAAAAATTAATACGGTAAACCAATGTTAGCTGTAGTGTTATAGATTGCATGGTAGATTGTATACTGTAGTATACGATGTTAAGAGGCCGTTCTGGTACGAAAATTCGGCCGTAAAAACATGGTTTCGTACTTCTCATTTTCCTCAGCTCTCGTTAGTCGTAGAAACATAATTTTTTCACCAAAATAAACGTGAGAAGTTGATCTAGGTTTTGTCGTTCCAGATTTTCGATTTTTTTTTTCAAACCAATTATATTTGCATTTGAAATTTTCAAAATTTTCAAAATTTTTAAAAAATCATATAAAATAGACAAAAAAAGATATCAAAAATCTGGAACGACAAAACCTAGATAAACTTCTCACGTTTATTTTGGTGAAAAAATCATGTTTCTACGACTAACGAGAGCTGAGGAAAATTGGAAGTACGAAACCATGTTTTCGGTAAGAAAAACACGATTTTACAGCCGTCATGTGCTGCTCTACTGACACTAGCGGCAGCGTTCAAAAATAGTGTTCCTACCACTACCCCGCGCTCGATTGTAGCCATACCGCACCATAGTTCAAAACCAGATTTCTTATCGCGACCGGGTCGCTTGCCGTTTATAAATAATCGGTACGAAAACAATTATGTTGGTGACAGAACTGTTTTCATAATACCCATATGGAATTTTATACTTCGTATATTATTATTATTATTCTGCTCGCCGTGTTTTACACAAACTAAAAATCTCAGATCCTAAAATTGTTATAAATCTTTTAAAAAAATTACAATTTAAATAATTATTTTTTTAATCTTGTAGAGAATTCAACGAGAAAATTATTTTTTTAACGTTGACTAACAAAATATGAAATTTAATTCAGAATAACAAAAAAAAACCGTAGATACATATTATGAATACATGGAAATCTGTTGAATAAAGTGACCAGTGTAATCAATGTACCTAGGTACAACATAATTCGACTTATAATAATTAAAAGTTAAAACAATAAACCCCTAATTATATGAACTGAAACACAATTGTTTATATAAAGCAGTCAAATACGAACTGTATTTATTTTTAATTAGTTATAATAGTAGGTACATTCCTATATTACAGATTATTTATTTATTTATTTATTTATTCATTAATTAATTAATTTATTTATTTATAATATATTAATATATAAACGGGTTGAACCCAATTCAAAATATGATAAAACAAATTAAAAATGACATTGAAATACATTCAATGCATCAAACATTCACAATTTAAAAAAAAAAAATCATATTTACAATCTATACATACAATAAGCACATTCGATAATAGAATGAGAAGCACGTCATGATAAATCATCAAATTGTAAAAAATAATAAAATTCTAGGTATATAATATGTAAAAAACATAATATTTTAACATGATAATAGTATATAGCATTAAATTACCTATTACCTATGTCCTATAATCTATATTGTATAATATATAATAGTAAAAAGGTGGGTAAGTGGATGTCGCTCTGCTGTACAGTAGGTTACAAGTGGGTCACTGTATAATGGACGGTATTAAATTTGAATTCAATGATAAAATATCATTGTATAAGAAAAACGATTCTGAGCGAAGAAGGTATGTCAGTCTAGGTTTAAGACATATTATATACATATCTATGGTATTAAAAAAAAATTGACCTATAATAAATTCCAAATTAATCATATCACAATATCCACTAGGTACTTATAACACGTTATACATCAATAACAAACCCTGATATTATATATATAATATAGTGTACTTTAGAAGTTTCAAGTACCCACGAATAGTATTATACACTCACAACAAAATAACTAAAATAGGTATGCTAGGTTTTTTAATATGTAATTTCGTCCCAAATTTGAACTTAAAATGTCTGTAAAAAATAACTGTGCTCATATATTTTTTAGATTTTCTGGCTATAGTATGAACTATTTATGAGAATCTTTTTTTTAAATGTTCAATCCTTAGCTATAAAAACTGAACATTTTATAATTTATTAATTACGATGGTTGATAATTTTCGAGATTTTGATAAATTTTGTCAAAATGCGATCTTTAAATGCTTATAAAAAAAAATTGTGCCTATGTATTTTTAATATTTTTCAATTGATATTGTAACAATATATCAGGAGCCTTGTATTAATTTTTCACACTTTTTGGCCCAACAGATAAAACTTTATTAATATTTATAGAAAAAAAAAACTAAAAAAATTGAAAACTGAAAATGTCCGTAAACGGTTCAAAAAGAGTCAAAATATTTTCAAAATTGTATGGTGTATAGGAAATGCTAATATAAACATTCAGTGAAATTTTCATGTATCTACAGTAATTCGTTTTTGAATTACAACAAAATAAGGAAATCGCCACATGAGAAATCGAGTGAATATCCAATGTTGTAAAAATTTGAATTTCAAACGCTCATAAAAATTTAATTTGACTTTCTTATAGAATTTTTTTTGTTTGATAAATGTAGGAAATCTTATAAGGAATCTAGTATTACATTTTCATATCTTAGATTTAAAAAGAAAAATTTTTATGAATTTCTAACTCGAAATAATTTGCAAATTTTCGTGATTTTTCCATATTTTGTCATTTTTAGATTCTGTGTGAAACGATGAATGTATTGATTTTACAATGATGTGTGTTTTTTTTTTATTTTTTAGATTCTGAGTGAAACGATGAATGTATTGATTTTACAATGATGTGTGTTTTTTTTTTATTTTTTTTTATATTTTTTTTTATTTTTTTTGTGTCTGTGTACACGATAAGTAGTCGAAATAATGCTTCGATTTTCGACTTCAGTATCTTGTTCGATTGGAAAGTGAATATCGTTGGTGCATTGGGGAGGTCAAAATTTAAATTTCCCAGTAGTTTTCAAGAGCGCCGGGAAAAACAAAAGAAAAATTAAGGAAAAACGGGAATTTTTACGCAAAATCGATTTTTCAGAAAATTGAATTTGGTTTTTGGTGTAACTTTAAAACAAATGACCGTAGGCACATGCAATTTTCACTGGTTGTTTATATTTGCATCTTCTATACACGATAACATTTTCAAAATATTTTGATTTATTTTGAACAGTTTAGGGACATTTTCATTTTTAGTTTTTTTTTAGTTTTTTTTCTAGAAATATCAATAAAATTTTATTTGTTGGTTGCGAAAGCTTGAAAATTTAATAGAAGGCTCCTAATATATTGTTTCAAAGGCAGATGAATAATATTAAAAATCCTTAGTCACAATTTTTTTTTATAAGCATTTAAAGTTCAAAAATTGACAAAATATGGAAAAATCACGAAAATTAGCAAATTATTTTGAGTTAAGAATTCGTAAAAATGTTTCTTTTTAAATCTAAGATTTGAAAATCTAATACAAGATTACTCATAAGATTGTCTACCTTTATCAATAAAAAAATCTCTACAGGAAAGTCAAATTAAATTTTTATGAGCGTTTGAAATTCAAATTTTTACAACATTGGATATTCACTCGATTTCTCATGTGGCAATTTCCTTTTTTTGTTGTAATTAAAAAACGAATTACTGTAGATACATGAAAATTTCACTGAATGTTTATATTAGCATTTCCTATACACCATACAATTTTGAAAATATTTTGACTCTTTTTGAGCCGTTTACGGACATTTTCAGTTTTCAAGTTTTTTAGATTTTTTTTTCTATAAATATCAATTAAGTTTTATCTGTTGGGCCAAAAAGTGTAAAAATTTAATACAAGGCTCCTGATATAGTGTTACAATATCAGTTGAAAAATATTAAAAATACATAGGCACAATTTTTTTTTATAAGCATTTTAACATCGAATTTTGACAGAATTTTTCAAAATCTCGAAAATTATTAATCATCGTAATTAATAAATTATAAAATGTTCAGTTTTTATAGCTAAGGATTGAAAATTTAAAACAAGATTCCACGTAAGTAGTTAATTCTCTTACCGAAAAATCTAAAAAATATACAATCACAGTATATTTTTATAGTCATTTTATGTTCAAATTTGGACGAAATTACATATTAAAAAACCTAGTTATTTTGTTGTGATTATATAATATTATTCGTGGGTACCTACTTGAAACTTCTAAAGTGGACTATTATATATATATGATAGTATCATGGTTTGTTGTTAGTGTATAACGTGTTATAAGTACCTAATGGATATTGTGATAATGTGATATGATTAATTTGGAATTTATTATAGGTCAATTTTTTTTTAATACCATAGATATGTATATAATTTGTCTTAACCTAGACTGACATACCGTCTTCGCTCAGAATCGTTTTTCTTATACAATGATATTGTATCATTGAATTCAAATTTAATAGCATCAATTATACAGTGACCCACTTGTAACCTACTGTACAGCAGAGCGACATCCACTTACCCACCTTTTTTTTTTTTGTGTCCGTGTACACGATAAGTAGTCGAAATAATGCTTAGATTTATGACTTCAGTATCTTGTTCGATTGGAAAGTGAATATCGTTGGTGCATTGGGGAGGTCAAAATTTAAAATTCCCAATAGTTTTCACAAGCGTCGGGAAAAACAACATAAAAATTAAGGGAAAACGGGAATTTTTACGCAAAATCGGTTTTTGACAATATCGAATTTGGTTTTTGGTGTAAGTTTAAAACAAATGACTGTAGGAACATGAAATTTTGACTGGTTGTTTATATTTGCCTTTTCTATACACGATAACATTTTCAAAATATTTTGATTTATTTTGAACTGTTTAGGGACATTTTCATTTTCCATTTTTTTTTAGTTTTTTTTCTAAAAATATCAATAAAACTTTGTTTGTTGAGTAGAAATACTTGAAAATTTAATACAAGGTTTCTACTAAATTGTTACAAAGGCAGATGAAAAATATTAAAAATCGTTAGTCACAGTTTTTTTTATAAGCATTTAAAGTTCAAAAATT